ATTGTTTTCCATGGGGTCCTATGGTTCTGCATGGAACCCCATAGGATACAAGAGACTGCTGGTGGCTGGGCAATGAAATAGGAGAGGAAATTGTGATGGTTCTCATCCTACCTGTTCTTCAGTTGTAAACATGGTAGTAAAGTGCAATAAGAGGCAGGAGCTCTAAACAGGATGGCTGGCCCATGTTCAGAGGTCCCTTGTTCCAGGGCATTTCTGCCTCTTTTCTACCCTGGAACATGCCGCTCCCTGCTTGAAAAGAGGCCGAAGTGTCCTATGACTGGGAAATATCTCAATGTGATGAGGTTGATTTGTGGCGATCCCTCCTTTAGGACACTCCTGCCTCTTTCCAGCCACGAAGAGCTGTGCATGACGGCCACAAGTAACTTAACTCATGTGATTAGCTCTGTTCCTCTCCAGGCTTGAGTAGAGGCCCAAGTATTCTACAACTGGGACATTTCTCCATGTGATAAGGTGGCGAAGCTCAAGTGTTTATACAGACAAGAGATTTCTTGCTAGAATCCCTCTACCTGGACTTCATAGGTGTGATGATGATGGTTCTTTGAGATCTCTCATTCTTGGGGTCACCATAAGTTGAACCTGATTTTACAGTTATTAATGTTGTCGTCATCATCATCTAGAATTCCCCCAAGAGAAATGCAGTGATGCTATTCTTCTTGTGCACCTTGAAGCCATTTCTGGCCTGTAGCAACCCTAAGATGAACCTACCACAGGCTTTCTCAGCAAGATTTGTTCAGAGGAGGTTTATGCTTGCCTTCATCTGTGAATGAGAGAGTATGTCTTGCATTGGGTTTCTATGGTTGTACTGGAATTTGAATGCTGCTCTTCTGGAATCCTAAACCAACAATCATGATAATTCTGCTCATTGACCCTCCTCTGTAGTTCTGAAGTTCTAGAGAATATCAAATACTTTTGGTTTGGGTCTAAGGGCAGGTAAAATGATATTAAACTGGAACCCTTGTGCAGTATGGATTTCCCTTTGATGTTTTTGACTACATCCTCTACAGTTTTTTGCCATTGGACCTACTCATTCAGAATGATGAGAGTCCTGAGCCAAAAGAACCAGAGAGCTACAGGTACCCCCAGAGGCGGCCCTAGGTAATTTTCAACAGTAAGCAAACAGTATTTTGGCACCCCCCCCCAACCAATCATTGATATATATTTTCTGTTCGTCGTGGGAGTTCTGTGTGCCATATTTGGTTCAATTCCATCATTGGTGGAGTTCAGAATGCTCTTTGATTGTAGGTGAACTATACATCCCAGTAACTACACTTGCCGCACTTGCTCCCTTGCCTGGCCCGCTTTGGGTCTGGAGGCGTGCCTGAAGACCCCGGCGTGTGCACCAAAAGTCACCTCTTCTCCTGACTTTCTCCTCAGCCATTGGGACCGAGAGAGAGAGAGAGAGAGAGAGAGAGACAGAGGTGGAGATGCCCACCTTTCCTGAAGGTAGGGACAAAAACAAAGGAGGGAGCGGAGGTGGGAGATACCTCCAGCTGGAGGGGCTCTCTCTCTCTCTCTCTTGGTCCCAATGGCTGAAGGGAAAGTCAGGAGAAGAGGCTACTTTTGGTGCACACACTGGGGTCTTCAGACACGCCTCCGGACCCAAAGCGGGCCAGGCGCAGCGGCTCCGCCCCTTGGCCCATCCGCGGATTGAGGAGAGGAGGCGGGTGGAGCGCTGGGAGATCGGGAAAGGGAGC